GTTATCACAACAAACAGAACATTGATCCACCTCAAAACCAAATCTTTTTCTTAAAAATTCTGCCACAGGATAAATTTTGTTAATAACTTTCAAATGTGTTTCTTTGACTATAGGTAAAATAGGCCATTTAACAAATTCTGAGAAAGCTTTATCGACTGTATCTGAGTTAACAGAAATATCTCTCTGGCTTTCAAAAAACTTAATAAATTTATTATTCTTTATCAAGCAAATTACATTGTGAAATCAACAAACTGGGCAATATTGGAGGGTATTTATTATATAACCTAGAGTTTTTTAATCAATTGAATTAAAGGCAGTGGAATCGATTTACACTGAATGCTGGATTTCTGCTCTGCAGCGTTTCTTTGGTACGCGATTTTTTTTTTAATATGACCCTTTCGGGTACCCATACTTATCCATGTGACCCCGGAAGTAAATGCAGTGAGGACTTTTTGCCTTTAGCAGAAAACAAAACAAGACATTTAACGTTTTGTGAGCCGTGAACTGTCCGTGTTTCGCCGTCCCAGACTAGGAGCTTACATCGAGAGATTATTTCTGCAGAGTTTGATCTACAGGGACGGAAGTTCTCCTCATCCAGAATGAAAACTGTTCTGATGGTGGCAGAGAAACCTTCTCTGGCTCAGTCCATCGCTAAAATCCTCTCCAAAGGTAAATCAGAGCCCGTTTAAACAGACCTGTTCGATTAATTAGAAGATTCTGGAAAACGTTGTTTCATTGATTCAGACTGATTCAGTTCAAACGTCTTTTCATTTAGGATTCAGACCAAGAAATAAACGTCTTATTACAGAAACATTGTATAAGAATAATTTTAATCAGAAACATAGAGAATTTAGTTATCATTTGGAGAGAATATAGCATCATTTGGATGGATATAATGGTTGAAGAAAAGCAGACCTGATTAATCAACCTGCAGAGCAATTCAACGCAGAGGCGCTTTTAGACTGGAGTCCAGCCTGGTTTGGACCTTTAAAAGTTGCGTTTTTAAAACGCAAGACGCACAAAGTGGCAGCAGAAAATATTTGTTAACCTAAACCATGTTTTTATCAGAAATAACAACGGCTTCAGTAGCTGGTTCAAAGCTGGCCCAGACTGGAACCACATCCTGGATCTACATTAGTATTAATTCTGCTCTCTGAACCCTGGAGGTTAGAATACCGACACCTGCTGGACATTTAAATACACTACAGGCAGATTATCTGACAGACTAAACTGAATCGATCTGCTGACCTAATAAAATTATATCATTAAAGTTATTGTAGGTTATATTATAATTATATTATTTCATATGCTATGTTTAACCCTTTATAGGGCAAGTTACCCTGGCATACCCCCTGGAGTCTCTCTAGAAGTGGACTCTAGAAGCACAAGATCTATATCCAGCCATTTAGCAAAGACCCCGCTACATGGATGTTCATCTTATTTTGGTATTTCACCAATTAGATGAGCCCTTGAGTGATATATTACTTACTCTAAATTAAGTTGAAAAAAAAGGTTAACATTGTAAGAAAAGGGGGTAAAAAAGCTAATTGAAAAGTTAAAAAGATAATATTTATTATATTTAGGTTTATAAATGTCAGAAACAGCAAAAAAAAAAGTGTTTCTTTCACTCTCAGAGTGTTTTTCATGAATTTCTTATAGAAGCACTTTTGTTATTTTTCTTAATATAATCAGGCAAGTTGATGTTTATTGACATTAATTTTTGCCATCAGAATATCCATATTTTTTAGTGTTATAAAGGCAATAAGGTTTTCTCCTGGATTGGAAAAAACACTATTGGCTTGAAATTTAGATTTTTAAAGTATTTCATTGAGTGACCTATAAAGGGTTAAAATGAAAATATCTTTGATATTTTTAGATGCTGCCAATAAATAACGTAAACATAAATCATGATGTGATAATTCAGGGGGAAATGGGAATGAGGATGCTTGTGGACTAGGATTTTAAGTCATTATTTTACCACAATAAGTACAATAAAAACAGTAAATAAACTAAGACTCAATTTGAAATGAAGTTTAATACAGATAAGTTGAGTGATAACTGAGAGGAAATGTATGACACAACGAGAAAATTAAAATAAAAATGCAACGGCTGAAACGTTCCTATTCCTTTTTTGGCTCCAAAATTCTTGATAATTTTAATGATAAACTGCAAAAGATGAGACTTAAACAGAGTCTAGTAAGTCAGTCAGTCAGAAACGACTCCTGTATCGGTCACATGACTTTCTTGAAACGAGACGCCCACCGATACAGTGTTCTGCTCTATGGGCTCTCCCCCATCGGTGTTAATGGACCCATCGCTACCAGTTACTATATAAAAAAATTATCTGGGTGGATCTGCAGTCTGGATAATCTGTTCTATCGGGTCATTCTGGTTCCTGTCTTCTCTTACAGGAAGCTGCTCCAGTCGGAAAGGCCTGAACGGAGCGTGTTCGGTACATGAGTACAGCGGCAGCTTCCAGGGCCAGACGGTCCGCTTCAAGATGACCTCGGTGTGTGGTCACGTGATGAGCCTGGATTTTACTGGTGGGTTTCTGCTGAACCGGTGCTGCTCACTTTGTGTCCTGGTAGGTTGTGGCATCGAGTTCATGAGAAGAAAACTGAAAGGAATCATCTAAAACCCTCTCAGGCACTATGGGAAACTGTTCTGTTCCATCCAAGCTCTGGTGGATCAGAAGCAACCTGTCAGTAGTTGTGGGTTTCCAAAAGTCATGGCCTGTGCTCGGTTTTCTGCTGTAGCATGTTTTCTTCATTTAAAAGATGATAGCTTTAGTAAACTCCCTGGTTTGTAATCCACAGCCCGGTGGTTGAAGCAGCAGAATCAAAGCTAAAGGAGTCAGTTACTGTCCAATAATTGTGGTAAAGCAAATATGCTCCATGTTTTCTATCAATGGTTCCTAACATTTTCTGCCTGTGACCTAAAAATAACAATACAAGGGACTGAAGAGCCCTAAAACTCATACGATTACCAGCGATGTGGGTTGAATCTGATCCATGCTGCTGGAACATTAGGATCATTTTCCCTAGTTTCTATTGTCATATTTATAATTGTTTTATAATAAATCTGTGATCCGATCCATTAGAACACATTGATGAGCCAATCCTGAGAAATTATTTTAACTGTGAATTATTACTCTTCATTCATGTTTGTAAACCTTTAAGTTCTCTTAGTTCTGGGTTGTAAATCCCTTTATTGTCCCACAACGGGGAAATTTTGACCCCTCCCCTAAGGGTTTTACTCAGGAACCCAGAGTGGAGGCTGTGGGGATCGAACCGGGTACTTGCAACCTTCTCAGAGCACAAGCGCACTGCTCTAACCACTAGACCAACACTAGTTAGTTTAAGTTCTCTCAGTTCTGGGTTAAAACCAGGAGGAGAAACAACCTTTCCCAGGGCTGAAGATCTATCTGTAGACAATGGTGGGCGTTGCATGTGGNAAAATAAAAATGCAACGGCTGAAACGTTCCTATTCCTTTTTTGGCTCCAAAATTCTTGATAATTTTAATGATAAACTGCAAAAGATGAGACTTAAACAGAGTCTAGTAAGTCAGTCAGTCAGAAACGACTCCTGTATCGGTCACATGACTTTCTTGAAACGAGACACCCACCGATACAGTGTTCTGCTCTATGGGTTCTCCCCTATCGGTGTTAATGGACCCATCGCTACCAGTTACTATATAAAAAAATTATCTGGGTGGATCTGCAGTCTGGATAATCTGTTCTATCGGGTCATTCTGGTTCCTGTCTTCTCTTACAGGAAGCTGCTCCAGTCGGAAAGGCCTGAACGGAGCGTGTTCGGTACATGAGTACAGCGGCAGCTTCCAGGGCCAGACGGTCCGCTTCAAGATGACCTCGGTGTGTGGTCACGTGATGAGCCTGGATTTTACTGGTGGGTTTCTGCTGAACCGGTGCTGCTCACTTTGTGTCCTGGTAGGTTGTGGCATCGAGTTCATGAGAAGAAAACTGAAAGGAATCATCTAAAACCCTCTCAGGCACTATGGGAAACTGTTCTGTTCCATCCAAGCTCTGGTGGATCAGAAGCAACCTGTCAGTAGTTGTGGGTTTCCAAAAGTCATGGCCTGTGCTCGGTTTTCTGCTGTAGCATGTTTTCTTCATTTAAAAGATGATAGCTTTAGTAAACTCCCTGGTTTGTAATCCACAGCCCGGTGGTTGAAGCAGCAGAATCAAAGCTAAAGGAGTCAGTTACTGTCCAATAATTGTGGTAAAGCAAATATGCTCCATGTTTTCTATCAATGGTTCCTAACATTTTCTGCCTGTGACCTAAAAATAACAATACAAGGGACTGAAGAGCCCTAAAACTCATACGATTACCAGCGATGTGGGTTGAATCTGATCCATGCTGCTGGAACATTAGGATCATTTTCCCTAGTTTCTATTGTCATATTTATAATTGTTTTATAATAAATCTGTGATCCGATCCATTAGAACACATTGATGAGCCTTCAAACCTCAGACAGAGAAAAGCCAATCCTGAGAAATTATTTTAACTGTGAATTGTTGCTCTTCATTCATGTTTGTAAACCTTTAAGTTCTCTTAGTTCTGGGTTGTAAATCCCTTTATTGTCCCACAACGGGGAAATTTTGACCCCTCCCCTAAGGGTTTTACTCAGGAACCCAGAGTGGAGGCTGTGGGGATCGAACCGGGTACTTGCAACCTTCTCAGAGCACAAGCGCACTGCTCTAACCACTAGACCAACACTAGTTAGTTTAAGTTCTCTCAGTTCTGGGTTAAAACCAGGAGGAGAAACAACCTTTCCCAGGGCTGAAGATCTATCTGTAGACAATGGTGGGCGTTGCATGTGGTACCTAGGCCTTCAGTGGGCAACCCTTAACTTAATCTACTTCAATTTGCAACAATTGGGGTCAAGGTGTCAATATCACCACTTTTGCTTTTTAAAGGCATATTATGCAACATTTTTCAGTTAATTAATGTGTTCCATAACATTTTGGATGATTAAATGAGTCATTTCAGGTCGAACAAAGGTTTTCTCGGCCGCCCTGTAGGGGAAATACAGTACTTGCAATTGCAGAAGCCCTCGGCCCGCACCCACAGGCTCAGACGTCTTGTGCATCGCGAGAGTCGGTCTTGCTTTACGGCGAGAACTTGGCTAACTACAATCTTTGTTATTTAGACACATGCATAACAAATAATGTATAAAAACATGCCAAAAATTTCAAACTCGAAAATTGGAACAAAATAGTCACTTACCGCAGTAGACATGGTGATTCGTTGCGTTCGCCTGTCTGCTAAGCTCAAAACAACCGCGCCTGGCTTGACGGAGAAACCAGGAGAACAGCCGAGCATATTTACGACAGTGCACTTTTACTTTCGCCCTCTGGGGGGAGCCTCGCTGGAAAATCAACACCGGTTGCATAGTGTACCTTTAATAACAGAAACCCCCCAATAGTATTCAAATATGAACTGTAACAAGCGCAGGTATAACTGAGTGGAAGTTTGGTGTGAGGGTGACAACAGCAATCCTCTTCTCTATAACCACGGCTCCGCCACATTTACATCATCAGGAGCCATTCAGATTCAATATGCATCTAATTATCAGATAAGATAAAGCATAAAAATAAAATATATCGCTCCCACCGGAGATGCTGATTATTAAT